CTCTTTCATGGAATTCATATAACTTCCATTTATGCTAATAGGAAGTAAGCACCTGCTCTGCAAAGAAAATAGACCCCTATCTGTGAAAATAAATGTGTACGGTATATTTTCCAGATACAATGCCAAAATCAAACAACCAAAAATGTATGCTGTATAAACAAAGCGTCATGTGGCCTACCTGAAAACACTGCGTTTTATATTTTACCTCCTTACTCATAGGCTTTGCGATGTTACTCATGCCTTTGCCATTTAAATGTAACAGGGGAAAAAAAAAAGGATGGACAGACTCAATCTGGTGATTTCAGCGAGCACACACACAATCCCGTCTACCCCTTCAGAAGTTCATAATAAACTGCATCAGTAAATCTGGATCCGAGCCACCGCTCTCTGCCATCATCTTAAAAGTCACGGAGGATAACTGTCCGTAATAGATGTGGGCACGATCATGGGGCACTGTGCTGGGACTCCCTGCAGCGGCTGCACCTCAGCTGGGACAGGAGAGGAGGCAGACGGCTGTTCATGACTGGTGACACCCAGCCCCTTTCTGCAGCGCCCTCTGGTTGAGTGGCCGGTCCCACAGGGAGGCAGGTCCACCTGGCCTTGAATGGAGCTGTCTCCACTGGTAGTCACAGAGGTGTCCTCTCAGGGGACAGAGAAAGGCTGGCCCTCTCAACGCCACCTGAAGGGAGCTATCACAGAGCCCTCTCCCTAAAACTTTATTACACTCTCAGTTAAAATGACGTGATCAAAGAGGGTTGTGGGGAGGGGAATTAGAATATCCACCAAATACCCAAATATCATGATACTGAGAATGTGGAAACATTGCTATTCTCATCCAACACTTTAAAATAGTCCTAAGGAATAGGTTATAACAATACTGGGCTTCTCGGGTGGCACAGTGGTAAAAGTATCTGCCTGCCAATGCCAGGAGACACGGGTTCAATCCCTGTGTTGGGAAGATGCCCTTGAGAAGGAAATGGCAACCTGCTTCATTATTCTTGCCCGGAGCATCCCATGGACAGAGGAGCCTGCCAGGCTACGGTCCTTGGGGCCACAAGTCAGACCCACCTGAGCATGCACACATGCATGCAAAGAAGAGGTAATACGAGCATCATACAGCAGGTACGATGTTTAACCACCTCTCTAAAGATTTCTCTTTCCTAATGGTCTACGTCAAGACCAAAACCTTTCACTTCTGATTTGTATTGTGAGGGTACTGAAAGCATACTCTCCTGGGCCAGATTGAATACAGAGTTTGAGGGACCCAGTGCAACCTGGAAACATAAGGCACCTTGCTGGACAATATCTAAACAACTGCAGGACGATGACGACAGAGCTTTAAACCCAGCTCAGGGCGCCTCTGCATGGGGCCCTGCGAGACAACAGTGCAGGTGAAGCCAGCCTCGCTCTAAAATGGACCTTAGTGACAGGCAGCCTGCTGCTCTCGCCTCCTAACAGAAAATTCGGTCAAGAGCACCACGGACGAACGAGTGTGACATGTCCTCTGATCTACACCAATCTGATGTACTGAGGTCCAAGGAACATGGATCAACAGTGTCCTCTCAGAACTACCATTAACGTTCATATACAGATTGTATTATAAGGCTCACCTGAAAGTGTTTCATCTTCTTCCTAGAAGGTTCCACAGGCCAGGTTTTCTATCCAAAGGCCAGCGTGACCCTGGTGATGGGTTTCGTTTTAATGGGGACCGGAGGACCAATTTTGAATACAGATAATGGGAGCACAGTTTGCAGGCAGTCTGATCCTCAATGACATCCTTTTTCTTTTCCTCTATTTTTTTTTTTTTTCCTTTGAAAATCACTTCCTGCTCAAACCCCTTCTCCTTGGTCGGCCATGCACCGGTATTGGATTTGACCTTGAATTCCAGATGGGCCAGGTTACTGTAAAGGCACTCGGTCTGGCTTCCCACAGTGTAGGTGATTATAAAGGCTGGCAGGGTACTGCTTACGGGGTGCCCTTCTCTTCTAAGGGGCATCCCTGCTGGCTCAGATGGTAAAGAATCCACCTGCAATGCAGGAGACTGGGGTTCGATCCCTGGGTTGGGAAGATCCCCTTGGAGAATGGAATGGCAACCCACTCCAGTATTCTTGCCTGGAGAATCCCAAGGACTGAGGAGCCTGGTGGGCTACAATTCATGGGGTTGCAAAGAGTTGGATGTGACCAACACAACAAAACACAACAACGTCTAAGGACAGTTATGCTCCATCAGTTCCAGTCTGGTGATCAAGACAATAGTAATTACTGTCACTGCAGTATCTCCTATCATCTACCATCTCCCGCGAGTGGGCTTCAGCTAAACTTGGCTGTTGGAAAGTCATCTTTCCCTTCAGTACATGGAACTCTACAGAGTTGGGCTTCAGAAACTTAGAGGAGGGTATTAGAAACAGAAAAGTACCCCTTTATTTCTCCCCCAAAATACAGGAGATAAATTTGTAAATACGTTACAAAAATACCCAGAAAAATATATACTTTCAGCAAAATCACATTGTACAGTCTGAGTTTTTTGAGCTATAGATTACTTATTATAGGATCAAACAATACAGAAGGAACTGTTCGAATATATAAGCCTATCCTGATTTTTGGTCCTTCAGAAAAGGGCTAGAAGATTATAATATTAGCTTCTCTCAATAAAACAGTATAACCCTTTTTTCCTGGTAGTGAATTTGTAGGGATAAACAACCCTACAAATCGTTGGACCTATTGTATGTCACAGAGATTTTTCTATAGCCTGTCTAGACTCCAGACAATAGGTGAGACCGGCCTAGAGTTGCAGACATTTCTATAGTCTGTAATATCACTTAGAAAAGCAAGGGCAATAATACTAAAATGAAAACCAGCCTGACCCGCTAGTACGATAGAGGAAATATGAGTATAACACCACTATACAATTTAGAAATGATGACAACAACGTAGGAAGAAGTTTTAGCAGCCACATATCAGTCAAAGCAGCTTTTACAAAATCATATATATACTCCCAAAATATGAGTCATATTCAAGTAATTCTGTCCCATGGCTACATTATAACTTATTGCAGTAAATTCTGTATATATGTTATGCCATATTTTCTTACTGCCTAGAGGTGGTGTGTGTGAATGTATATTACATGTATATATGAATTATGTGTATATATGAATTATGTGTGGTCAACATACAGGTTTTTCAAAATGCCTTACTTTAAATAAACCAGACTGTCGAACTATTATGCTTTTCAGTCCTCTTGGATAAAGTAATGTTGTATATACTCCTAAAAGAGTTAATGAATGTTCTGTATAATAAGCAAGGAAGGTAGAGAAAGGAGTTTTTAAATTTCGTCTATTTTCTACCATTTCATCTCTGAGCACATCTGTTTTCTCTCCTGCAATTATACCCATTATAAACAAAGAAAAGAGAGAAACTTTTTTGTTTCTTAATATTTCCCTTCTTTTCTACCTCTCAATTTTCTTAAACAAATGAACAAATGTAGAATACATGTTTTTGCTGCTTAGTTGTATTTTGATGAAGACCATGAAAAAGACGAGCTGACTAAAATATTCACTGAAGGAAATATTGGCAATATTTTGGCTTTAAAATATATTGGCAATATTTTCAGTTCCTGAAGAATATTCTTTTTCTCAAAGGTTCCAAGCTACGTCAATAGTCAGCAGACCATTTCCTTCTTCACCACTGGGGATGAATATTAACAGAGCCTTTGTCAGTGCTGGAATGACTCAGCCTGCGGCATCAGGGGTAGTTAAGGAGGAGTCTAATGAAATAGTATGCAGTGGAACTGCGAGATTCTTCAGCTATTTGACTTAGAGTTGTACATCCCCAACAGAAAACTCCCATCTCTGAAGTCACTTGCTTTCTGTCTCTAAATTAAAACACGTACACACACAAACACCACCCAGCTTGTTTCAACACGACCAACTCTGCCATATAGCATCACCCAAGTTCCACTGTAGAACACACCATCTAGGATTGCCAAAATTGTAGAAAGCTCATTGATGAAACCATAAAGAACCCTTCTCAGTGTGATCAGCTCTGCCCATCCACCCAATACTCAAAGCACACTCCTGAGGTGTAGGAGGTTATGCCTAGAAATGTGGTATATGTTCCCCCCAGGATGCAAATGCTAGATCCGTACTGCACTAACACAATTTACACAACATGCTTATTTTGTTTGGCTTGAAAGTTCCATATTTTGTCTTTAAGAAAAAACTTCTTTCACCCCATCAGAAATGAAGGTTTTTGTCAACACTTTCTCACAGAGAAAAATAAACAGATATGCTTCCATAAAATTGCTTTGTAATGTAATATTAAGTGTAGTATGGATATTCAAGGAGATTGATCTGAAATCAAATATGTAGTTCTTTCTTCTGATGTGTGCCATAATATTCAGAAATATTTTACACATCATATAACGAGATAAACCAGAGAAGCATACACTGCATATAACAACTGTGAATATCATGAAAACGGTACAAAGTTCTGACTCACCTCAGCTATTCAATTGGCTACTTTTAATTAAAGAGTAATAGTATATACCTTTTAATTGAACATACCAGCTTTTTATCAACATACCAGTTGATTTTGACTTTTCAAAATCAACAACAAATTCTAAATTCAATGGGAGCATGATGAATTTGGCAAACTTTTCATTCTCATGAAATTGGCAGGGGGTGGAGTGGGTGGGAGTGCAGGTGGAGGGAAGACCATGCTTCATCACAGGATAGCTGGGAATTCGGCAGCACTCAGAAAGTAGCCTGATCATCAACTAACAGGTCCTGTGTGTGGAGACGGAAGACCAAATTAGGCCCTAAGGAGGTCTCCCCAAACGCCCACTGAAGTCAATGGAAATTTGCAAACGTACTAGAGAGTGCTCTCACAGTCCACAAGGTGCTGTCAATAATTTCACTAAGTATTTAAACCAGGTATACAAGCAAAAAAAAGCCTGAGCACCAAAACACTAAATCAAAACACCCAAGCCAAATAATAGGTACCTCTCCGACGTCGTAGATCCAAATACGGCCTTCTGAGTCCCCAACGGCAACTTCCTTGCCACCTTGAGCCCAACGAACACGGTTTAGGGCGGACGCCCCCTCAATGGCCACGCTCGCTGTTGGAACCTGCCAAAGGGGTTGCAACAGAAACCAAGAATCGCTGAATCTGAATTTAAATATACGAATTGACAATGATGCGTTTAACTGGCTGAGTCCCCGTGGTCTGCGTGTGCATGAAGTAATACATCTCCTGTGCAGCTGGTAAGGATTCATTGTTCCTAAATCATGTGCTCCACTGAATTAAGAGGTAGAGAGGAGAAACACTTTAACAAAAAAGGAAAAGAGAGGGGGTCTGTGGCCATAGTCAGTGGGCAGTGAGTGACACGAATATTTCTGCGGATTATGCAGGGTGCACAGACAACATTCACACGGCAGCTAAATGTGAGACTTCTGGATTGGGTCCTGATTTATGGATTGATGGAGAGGAGGGAGGCTTCAGGATTTACCAAGATTAAGGATACTATAAAAGGCAGGGATGGGGTGTATGGTGAAAAATAAGTCATATTACTAAGTGTCTTCAGGGGAAAAAAATGTATTGATCCCTTGAAACCTCATCAGGGAAGGGATGCTCAGAAGAAAAGTTCAAAAGCTCAAGTTCTCCTGTTTTCCTTTCCTCTCTCCACCCTGTTTTCCTGCCTCCCAGCAGGACCAAGGTGTAGGAAGTGCTCTCACTTTGAAAACGTCCTCAGGACGGTATCCTGACAGAGTGCAGCACTTACTTGTAGAAAAGGCCTTACACCTCCTTTAATAAGCACCTGAAATCTGACAACATTGATAATTACAAATATTAATCATTATTAAAGTGAACTGGAAGTGCTGAGATGGAACCTGCAGTATTTGTCATAAGAACCTTACTATTTGGAAAAAAGAATTTTTGTGGGTCTACCCCTTTTTCATCCTGAGTTGTGTAAACTCACATCTGGAAGGTTGGAAGTTTATAACTGATAGAAAGATCAACTCTCTGAGCTTTCTATGAGAAGGCTGAATAGGAAATGACAACAGCCCATGAAAAAAGGTAAATGTTAAAACAAAAAGGAAAAAAATATACAGTGAAAAGAGGGCCACCAACATCATCTCATGCCACTGTTTCCAGACCTGTGTCTAACAGACATGACTTCTTAGGGTGGAAACGCGACCTGGACTGTGCCTATGCTCCCCCGGCATTCTGTTATTAAGGGAATTGAAACCATCTGTTTATATGAGATTATTGACCCAACACCTATCTTTAAAATAGCAATAAAAACTCCATCATATGTAAGAATCTATGTTTAAATTTAATCTTGAAATCAATAAAAATTCTTTTACCTGCTTAAATCACGGTATGTCAATTGATAGCAAAAATGTAAAACAAAAGTCCCCAGCTCATGTTTGTTTGTTTGTTTTTAATACACAATTTCTACAATAAAGGGTCCTGCTGTGCAGTGCTGGAGACTGAATTTTTAACCAAACTTTTCAAAGGCCAAAACAATATGAACTGCAATAAGCCATAATTCTGTCAATACACTTTATTATTAGTGTGCTACTCAGAAAACAAATCTGACAATCAGCTATATAGTTTTCAGAGTTAAAATTTTTAACTCTGTAATTTAGGGAGATCATAAGGCTCCCACTTTTCCTAACGCTGGTTAATATCAGATTTTATCTCTGAACAATCTCAAAAACTGAATAAAAAGTATTTAATCTTAAAATAAATATGACAACAGATCACTCAAAAGAAAATGATTTTTTGATACATTTTAAATTATGCCTAAAACATGTTAAAGAATTTTATATATTTATTTGGAATTAAGTAATGTAGCAAACTGGAACAATTTCTATTTTAACCATTTAAAAATATCTTCTTTTCATAGACATCATAAATGGTGGGGGTAAAAAAATAGAAACTGAGTCTGTAACACATGCTAAAAGAATTATGAAATGTATGAAGAAAATGACAAAAATATTTCCTCAATTTGACAAGTAATGAGTTTTCAAAAGCTGCTGAATCTATAATGAAAATAATCCATAATTGTCTCTTACTCTTGTATTTCAGTTTCTTATATATTTTCAGTTTTTAAGTATTTTAATTGCAATGACAGAATATATACACATAATTTACAACACCGCATAGAGATCAGTAACAGTGAAGTATGTGAATGTAAACTGTCCTAGCACAGGAGTAGTTGGAATAAGTTGGTTTAAAAAGCACTGTATTTTGAACGACAAAGAAGCACTGAGATTTCAGGTTTTTCGTTTTTCTTTTTTTTAAACGAATCTAATTTCTAATCGGACAAATATTTGAAAAATCTTGTTCAACTTGACAGAAGACAAAAATGATTTGAGGGTTTTAAAAAGTGTTCAGTTTATTACTGGATCTGAATCAGGCTCAATGTATCTACTATTATTGCAAAAGCAGAACTACGTTCACCGCAAAACTAAACGATTTGCATGCCCAGTAATAATTTCTTAAAACGCTTAGCTATAAAAGACTTATGTGGTTGTCTCTTGATACCTAGAGAGAGGGAAGGGGAAAAAAAAAAATCACATTTGGCAATGCTGAGATATTATTTCATTTTACCTAAAGAGCAGATAAAAAGCCAAAACTAAACAAAAAGGGTTACAGAGAATTACGGAGTTGGTAGGACACTCCACTGCATCATGTTAATAGTTGAGTATCACCTGAACTCACTTCTAGTAAATCTGATTTCTAATTGTGTGTGTGTGTGTGTGGGGGGGGGGGTTGTTTCCTAAGTCAATCTGAAAACTGTTTTCTTTTTGGTTGTTTACAGTGAATGAGTTTATTCTACCAGAGAGAAACAATATGATTTTAATCAATGGTGATGAAAGACTTTGGGAAACCATTATATTGTAGAGTAATAGGCACCTTTCCATGAAAGGCAATGATGTTATAAACGTTTCAATGTCCGAAATGAGGGGCCCTGCACGTACTATTGCCCTTCATTTCCAAAGACACTTCATTACATAACTCTTGTCCTTGTCATGGAGTTCTGGTAGCCAAAAGGAAAAATAAAAAACAGAGTTAAATGGAAAGATTTGTGTAAAAGACAACTGTTTGGCAGTGGTTTTAGGTGAATATAATCTTGTATGATACAGTGACTCAGTAATAACACCTGAAGGATATTTCCCTGCCCCTCCCCAAAAAATATCAGGGCAGCCCGCTACTCCTCACATCCCCCAGCTGTAGGCTTCCTAATTAAAAAGGCTGAGCTGTTTCCTGTTCAGAACACTTCAAAAGACCTCTCCCTTGTTCTCCACTTGACATGTAGTTTTCAGCACTTGTTCTTCTTACCTGTCCACTCTTATTGATGGAGAGCTACCCTGAATCATGGACCAGCGGATGACCAGACCATTTTATTGTATTAAGCTGAAGGACCTTTAATATTCATGTTTCTTTTTAAACTCAACCCAAAACTCTAGTACCTGAAAATCAGCACCTCAATAATTTTGAGAGTGGAAAAGAGGAATAAGACATGTGACATAATTTTTAAAACATGAATATATACAGCATGATTTTTAAAAAGGCTATTTCCCTGTTGTTAATTGCCTTTTGAAAAAAATTTCACTTGTGAAGTGCTCCAAATGTGACATGTTAAAATATAAAAAAATTTACTGAATTTAATATACATGTTCAGAGACAGAAATTATTATAAAAGTGGTGAGTTCAGTCTTAGACATGGATTGTTTACCTTCTAAAAATTAAATGGAGACTAGATGTGAACATCAACAGTCCAGAGAATCATCTTTTACGGATTTAAAACAGAAATCGTGCAAACAGCAAACGCTGGCAAACAGCCCTCTTAAAAAGCCCAATCTCAAGTCAGAGTCCACAAAAGCTTACTTTTCCAAGTGTTTGCCCATAGAGTTATTTCAACACCACTCTCAAATATGCCCCTGCGTCCTTTCCCGCAGTGAAAGGCGTGAACACGTATGGTTTTGCTCTTTGCAAAGAAGGGTCGTCAATTGTCCAGGATTCTGCCACGGTTTTAGGGATGAAGTGAGATTAAATGATTTGGGGCCAAACGCATCTGCCAATTCCCTGCAGAGCAGGGGAGAATGGGGGGTCGGCAGCACAGCTGCAATTAGAGGGTCTGTCCAAAAAAGGCCGTTTCAGAGGGAGCAGGGGAGACGCGGAGAAGCCGCCGGCGCCCCCTCCCAGCCCGCCGGGCCCGGCGCCTGCGCTCACCTCGGTGTCATTGTTGAGGTTCCAGAGGTCCAGGCGCCCCATCCCGTCCACGCAGGCAAAGAGCGCGGGGTGCACGGGCGACCACATGACGTCGTACACATAGTCCGCATTGTCTTCAAAGGAGTAGAGCGGCTTGTTGTGCTGTAAAACAGAGGGGCCGTGAAGACTCCGCGGCGCTGCCGCTGCCCCGGGCTGTCTGGCGAGCCTAATTAAAAACTCTGCACATTCACAACGTGTCATAAAACTTCCCGAGATGAAAGTCCTCGGGAAGGTGAGCCGCAGCTTTAAAGTTACTAGAACTGTCCACTGGCATAAATAAACACCGGGGTGGGGGCGGGGAGGGACTCGCACGGGGCTGGGGGCCGGGACGGGCGGGGAGGCGCTTTCAGACACAGTCGTGGGAGACAGTGCGCACAGGTGAAAGGGCGGCCGGGAACACGGGGTGCTCGCCGGCCTACGCGACGCCAGTGGCTCGGGGCCGAACCCAGGCGTGCTCTGCTCGCCGGGGTCAGACCCGCGGGGGAAGGCGCTGGAAGCCCGGGCAATCGCGACGACCCAGAACCCTTAGCACGGAAGGCAACGCCTGCCACCTAGCGGCCGTTTTCTGTGGCTGCAGCGCTGCTTCCCATCCGCCTCCGGGGCCAGATCTACGCTTTAATGGTTCCTTTGCGCGGGAATGGGGTCCCGTAGTTTGAAGGGATCTGTAGCTCTTCGGGCACGTGAAACATCTCGCGGTTCTGAGACTCTGGTCTCTCTATCCAGGATCAGTTCACCCAAATCAGGTGGATTAGTGAGGCTCAATGCACTGTCCCTCAACCCCCGTGGAAGGCGAATCACTTTTTCTAGCTCACCCAGGATTTCCAAGAGCCCTGAAAATCGGTGTTTTGGGGGGAAATGCATTAACACACCCCTACTGCATACAAATGCTTCCCCTCCAGAGGGATACAATAAACTAAAATGGCACTCCTGATTTCCAGCGAATATTGTCACATCAAAATAGCACAGAAGTCAGAGATAAGTATGAACGTACACCAGAAATAAAACGTAATTGGACTTCATGAATTATTCATTCCATCTGGCTTGTCTTATTCTAATTTCTGCATAATGGCTTTACTAATCCCTGATCAATTAATGTAAAATGAAATTTAAATGATAATGAAAGCCCTAGAGATAAAAGAAATTAAGTATTCTTATATCCTCTGACAGAAATCTAAACAATGGGAGTTTTTTTCCCCAATGTCTTCATCCAGTCAGCTGTCTGTACCCTCTTCATGGGCTCAGCCGAATGCCTGTACAGGCCAGAGAAATAAGATCAAAAAATGATAACGCACAATATGAACAAGCAAATCCTTTCTGCAGAAAATGTTCAAAGATTGTATCTGTGGGGAATCAGCACCAAATATCTGAGCAAACTCCCAAGATGTACTGTGAAGGAAAATAAAGAGCCCAAAAATCCATGTGGTGAACTCAAAGTGGGAAAAATCAGTGAGAAAACAATAAAACTCCCACAGCCTGAACCGAATGCAAAAATTCAAGGTAGTGACTAAGTGATTTCTCCTTCCATGAATTATCTTGCTTTAGCATTGCTGAGACGTGAATACAGTTGTTAAGACTATTATAGCAATAGAAGATTTTAGGTGGGACTTTGCGTGTGTAGGGTGGGTAGTGTGTGTGGTCTTATTTTTAAGAAATACCAAAAAAAAAAACATGTAACACTGCGATTGCAAAAAGAATTAAATGGACATTAGCGTTATAGTTTTGTATTTTACTCTACATTATAACTCTTATGCCAATATATCTATTCTATCCCATATTTGCACTCTAATTTGGACCTAAGATTATTTGCCTATTTGCAATTGATGTAGCTTTTTTTCATCCTGTCACTGCTTGGACTATATGATTCAAACTTCCTTCTTCAGAGAATCTGAATATTCAGTGACACCTTAAAATAGTATGATAACATCATCTTTTTTCATTAATATATAAAAAAGAAAGGCAGGGTAGATAAAGTAGGTGGTCCTTCATTGATCGCTTCTGAGTATTCAGTTCTCTTAGTAGATTATTCCTGTTCCAAATTCTTGATTTTATAGCTAGCCAGTCACTATTTGTTAGAGAATATGAGTAACACATTTTTCTTAAAATCAAAGAGTAGAAAAGATTGACACATGCTTTAAAAAGTCAGTTCTCAGGACCCTTTATTAATAACCCAGCTGAGAGGATAACTGAGTATATAGAGGTGTAGACACACATGCAAACACTCAGACATTCAATAAATATATAACTAATCTACAGTCCCCATCCAGCTTTAAAGCCATCCAGGTATTTTCTAAGAAGTTGACATATTTGGTATGTTAATTCGCTAATCTCTAGTGTTTCCTTTTCTCTTGTGGTGGCTTTTTAAGAAACTTAGTCAAAACTGTAATGTATCTTGGATATTTTACCTTTTAAACATCTGGAAATGACTTTTAGTTCATCCGACCAAAAACCAATTTTCTCGTATTAAATAGTTTTGTACTGAAATGCTAATATTCCCTTATCACCTCCTACCTCCAAGACTGAATCTTTCATTCTAAAAGTCACTATGCAAGTAATTCTAAATTACAGATTGTGCATGTTTGGGGCAAGGGAGAAGGATGTATATTTTTCAAAGGATTTGTTTTAACCTTGATAAATTTACAGGATGAAGAAGTCTTGGTCAGGATTGAAGGCATTAATAGGGTACCAAGGGAACCACCATCTATGAACCACTAGTTCCCAAGATTAGATCAGCAGACGCCATAGCACAGGCTAACGCCACTCTTATAATAGTAAGCACTGCTGTTCTGAATATTAAGTGCAGTTTTTTTCAGTAAAGGAGCTTTCATTCTACCTTATTTGGGACTCAAAAGGTAAGCTGAAAACCTCACCGAAAATTTGTCTGAACCACTTAATATAAAACATTTCCTAATTTACATATATATCATGAAATATTAGCCCTTTCATACAATACGTCAAAAGCATTAGGGCCTAAAGATTCTGTTTTTGAATTCTGAAACATAGATGCTTGTATCCACAAAGTTGTAATAGTTTGCTATTGCATTAGCACCAGTTTTAAAACACTACAAGTTTTAGAAAGGTGGAAAGTGTAAGGGCAAATGTGACCAAAGATTTTTGAGGAGAAACCTGTAACAGTACTTGCATGTATTAAAGCTACAGAAGCTTGATGATCTTAGATATTTACTCTGCAAAATACTAGGCCACTTAGTAAATTAAATATCATTCCACTGTGTGTTACTATAGAAAGTGTTTTTCAAGACAATCAAATTTCACTAGGCAAAAACCCCTTCACTTGTGTATTCTCTTTTCTGATGCCCTTTTTGGTATTGCTGACCTGTTAGAAAAAAAGAAAAGAGAAAGGAAAACTGCCTTGTAATGCAGCCAACAGTATGTGTGACACAAGCCAATGAAATAAGGCTGTAACAACCAGACAGGTTTCCAGGGCTGTGCCCCCCAAATGCTAAAATACCAGACATGGATCAGCATGATTTTAATGCCCTGATTCTCCACGTGGAGAAGTAGGCTACCAGTCACCTTCCAGACAGACTTGAAGGGCAGGGAAGGGTAATTTGCTGGGTGTTCGCATGTGCCTGACTCTGTACACATATTGTCTAATTTAATCCACATCAAATCTCTGTAAGGTAGAGAGTATTTACAGAAAAGAAAAGGATAGTTCAGGAAAGCTAGTAGCTTTCCCGAGGTTGTTTGTGGCGACACTGGAGTTGGTTCTTTGGTTTTTCTAGCTGTTAAGTACATTTTCTGTCCTCTGGAACCGTGCGGTCCTCTATGAAACACAGTGATGGTCTTCAGTCTTCACAGAAAGAGAAGATCTGTTACCAGTCCTGGCTGCTATCCCATTTAATTCAACCCATACTTACTAAGCACACATTATGTAATTTATAGGAAGAGTTAAAAATATCACAGTCAGAACCTTTCATTTCCTGAATCGGTTATTAATAATCCCAAGACTGTTACCCATACAATTCCAGGGACTCTTAGAACCTTGTGACACTAACAGAAATCTCTCCAGAAAACTAAGAAAAAGGGTGGAAATGGCCCTTTAGCCAGCAGAGATTAAAGCAGGCCATGCCTTAGAGAGTAGAATAAAATGATGCTAAAAGCAAAGATCCGGGTTTAAGTTCACTCAATGTCTATACAACCTTGGGTGAAGGACTCCAACTGAATTATATTATCTGATAGATGGGGACAAAACGAAAAGGATGGAACAGAAAAGGAAGTAGGAGAAAGTGCAAAAATTACAGGCCTTGGGAAATTTCACTTAACATCCTTGGATCTTAGTTTTTTTTCATCTGTAAGATGGAAATCTGGAGAAACTGACCTCAAGGGTTCCCACTGGCTTTGTGATTCTATGACTGTTCTGTGGTAAGGGCTGAATGGAATAAAGCATGTGAAAGTTTAACAAAGAGTTATTCAAAACTACATATTATAATTAAAGCCATCTTCCTTGATGTTCTGTGGAATTTATATCTCAGCAATTTTTTTACTTTGAATTCATATTTCATCAAAATACATGAAGATGTATGAAGGTAGTTTTCAGTGAAAAAAATGAAATAATAAAGGTAATAAAAGATTTCTTATTTGACCAGTTGGAGAAGGGATAAAAAATATTAAATTTACATACAAGAGGCAGGTAGTGAACTCTGTTCAAAAATGAACAGTTACAACATCCATCAACGTTTTACAATAAAGACTTGATCTCTAGATTGAGCTTTGATTTTACAAGTACACTTCTGACAATGAGGACAGCTGCACATTTTTCCAATCAGTTAAGTATAAAATGATTTCATGAGAGGTGAATTTCTATTTCTGATGTCAGAAATGTACCAAAGTCACATCCAGGGAATATAGTGTTTATTTTCCTCTATATGATTTATTTTCCTCTTATCAGACAGCTCAAGGCGTCCCAATGGGCTTTAGTTTTTTGAAGGCTGGTGAAAAGGAGTATTTTGTGCTAAAATGCCTCCTAACACCTCCAAACACTGTGGTTCTTGAGGTTGCATCTGCCTGTAAATGATTAGCTTTCAAAGCCAACTTAGAAATGTCGACCCAAACCAAGAACCTTTCTTTGGAAGGGCGGGGAGTAG